TTCCTGACAGTAAGAGCTGTTCGACAGTGGAATACACTCCCTCGGAGACTGGTGGAGTCTCCTTCTTTGGAGGTCTTTAAACAGAGGTTGCATGGACCTCTGTTGGGGGTACTTTGATTGTGAGTTCCTGCATGGCAAGAGGTTGGACACCATGGCCCTTGAGATCTCTTTCTATCCTATGATTTTATGACTGTATGAGCACAACTGATTTGGAGCCATCATGTCAGGAGCTTCCCCACTAGCATGTCATAGGATCAGAAGGAGTAGGGAAGTTCAGACAATACCAGGGTCTTATTCTAAAATATGGCAATGTTTTAAAGATACCCACAAGTAAAAGAGATGGGAATAATCCAGTAGTTCATCTTATCAAATGACTGCACCCCAGCCTTATGAATGAAGAATTTTCTCTTCCATTTCTTTTGGCTTTTAAGAGGAGGAAACAAAGGAGCAATGGGGAGCCAAGCAGAGTAGATGCCTAATAGTTAATACTTTTAGGCAGAAAAAGAGAAGAAGAAAGAGAGGGATTCCTTGTTCCCTGTGGAGATTTCTACCCAGCAGTGGTAACCTGGCATAATCCAAGATGTTTTGCTGCCTGAGGCAATGCATTTCATCTCCCATTCTACATACCTAGCTCTGGGAACAGAATAGTTTTACTTCCTATAGTTAGGGCACTCAAGTTACAGTTTTTGTGGCTGGCCTAAGAAGCTGAAATGTCTGAAGATCTGCTTATGAGCCTGTCCCTTGCTGATGAAACTAAATCCAAGAGACATGAAATCACCAGCTCCTCTCCAACAAAATATTTCAAGTGCTTCTGGCTTCATTGCTGCACATGAGCTGCCTGCCAACAATTTAGAAAGCAGAACCCTCTCCACAAAATTTATTAAGCCAAATCACAGCAGGCACCAACAAACTACAGAGGAAAAACTGGCTAGATCAAAAGGAAGGAGGGACACCATGAATTTTGTTTAAACCTGAGCTCATAGAAGCCAAAAATTATGTAACTATTTGGGATTATTTGGCAAAGGTGAAAATGAATTAGATAGGATAGGCTAAATCCATTCATTGCAAAGTGCAACATTAACTCCTTTGTCTACAGTACAGTGTCATCCGGAAAAGTATACAGTACGGTATTTAGAAACTCTCATCGGACATCCAGCGTCCACTTTCTATAAAAGCTCATGCAATCCAAATGCTTTTATCCAACACCATCCTTTTCTCTTTTAAAGCAGTTTCCCCTATATTAAAGCTCTCCAGATCTATGTTGGACCACATTCCATTGCCCTCAGTCAGCATAGGGGTTGAGGGCAGGGGTTGAGGGCAGCTGTAGTTACACACATATACCGTATATGAAACCTGCTGAGTTGGTGAAGGCTGCTTTAATGCCGCCCACACTCTTAGCCTCATCCTCTCCCATCCATTATTTTTCTGCCTTGATGTTCCTGGGATTATGGGATTTTCACTTTGCAGGTCAGCCCCTCCCAACCACCCAAGTGGTGTCACTCTGTTGAAAGAATGCAGATGATAAAGCAAGTAGGCGAGTAATTCTCCATGCAATTGCATGCTAATACTGTATAACAATATAAAACAGAGAGCCAGCGTGGTTTGAGCGCTGGAATATGACTGTGGAGAAATTCAGGGTTTGAATCTCCACTCAGTCATGGAAACCCACTGGGTGACCTTGGGCAAGTCACATTCTCTCAACCTCAAAGGAAAGGCACGGCACCCCTGCCACTACCAAATCTTGCCAAGAATACTCCATGATAGGTTTGCCTTAGGGTCTGAATAAGTTGGAAATAACTTGAAGGCACTCAATATGCACACCATGCAATATATCTCAAGATCAACTAATTTTAATTGACTTTTCATGCACATGCATGAAAAATGTCACAGTAAACATGATCACAAAAGAGACATTCCCTCTTGTATTTGAGAGAAAGAAAAAGTGTTATTTTAAAATTGTAGGGCCAACTCTACCATTGGGTAGAGACTGGCAGCATCAGTAACACACACACACAGACACACAATAAAATTTATTTCAAAAAACAGACAATCTGTAAAGTTAAATGGATAGCTGTGAGTACCACAAGGCCTGTTCTGTCTTGTCTTAACTTGTCAAGTTACTCTAAAATAATGAATAGTTACAGTTTTGAGGGACCTTCAAAAAGGGGGTGCTATCATAGTTACTGTTTTAATAAAAACATCAGAAGAAGACTTGGACTTGGAAGGGCAGCTATGAAGGAACCAAATAAGATCTTGAAGTCTAAAGATATATCACTTAATGCTACAGTTAGGTTTGTCTGTTCCATCTTCTTTCCCATTTGTGAAAGGTGGACAGTGAAGAAAGTGGATAAGAAGAAAATTAATTCATCTGTAATGTGGTGCTGGAGAAGAGTTCAATGGATACCATGGTCTGCTAAAAAGACAAATAAATGGATCCTAGAGCAAATCAAGCTTGAAGCCAAGATGACTAAACGATGCGATGCACCCGGGATGTATTTGGGTGTCAAATTCAGCCGCAAAAACCTAAATCAGGATGCAGCCTGGATTGAAATTTAAACCAGGAGAGGTAAAATGGATTATTAAACCAAGCAATGAACTCCTCTGGTTCAAAACATGCTTTCTTCCCATCTACTCTGCTGGTGCCTCAACACTCTTGAGCAAAGAGGCAACAGTACAAATAGCATGCTATATCCCCCCAGAGGGTAATGGACAACTGTTTCCTTGCCAATAGTTTCATTGCCAAAGGATTCATTGCCAAAAGATTCACTATTTCACTGCCAAAAGATTCAACTACTAATCCAATTTGCTTTGTGCATGCGCGTGTCCTCCAACATTTCACAAATGAAAATCAGGACTGTGTGTGGCCAAGCGACATCAGAGCGTGGTCAAGATGGCAAAAGTAATTAATAAGGAAGAACATACAAGGTAGGGACAGGCTGCAGGGGTTTGCTTTTGCCTGAGTCTACTGGAAAGGGCAAGCTTCTGCTTGCTCCTCTCCTCTTCATGTGCTAACAGAAAACAGTTTGCAGCAATTGATATAAGTTAAGGTAAAAGGGGGAAGTGGAATCAGGAAAAGGAAAATGAGCCATTTAAAAAGTAGGTTTAAAAAGTGGGATGGCAGAGGATTAATCTAGACCAAGGGTAGGCAACTTTTTTGAGCCGGGGGCTGGGTTGTTGTCCCTCAGACAATTGGGGGACCGAAGCACCAAAAATAAATAAATAAATAAAAATTAAAAATTAAAAAAACTTTAAAAATTAAAAAAATATGCATGCACACTCTCTCAGTCCCAGAAAAGCCATGGCAAAACCCCTGTGGAGATGTTGCCAAGAAACCCCCCAAGAACAAGTAATAACAACAATAATCAATATCATCATGGCGGGCAGCCGGGACGGTGGGGGGCGGCAGGACCGGCCTGGGGCCAGTCCAAAGGCCTCAGGGGGCCACATCTGGCCCCGGGGCCTTAGGTTGCCTACCCCTAATCTAGACTGTCCCTAGCAAATTGAGACAGTTGGGGAATATATATGTGGAATGTGGTGAATGGGGAATTCCCCTTTGCTTCAGGAAGTAAGCAACTCATAGGCCATCCTTATAACAGAGTCCTACTATAGATTAATTTGCAATTAAACTTTGTATTTGAAATAATTAGTAGATTTTTAAAAAAACTACTATCATAGCCATCAGTAGTATTGATTTTAAACATTTTACTGAGTCCAATAACCAAATAAGCCAGGCATTTCTTTCCCTTCCTTCCTTCCTTCCTTCCTTCCTTCCTTCCTTCCTTCCTTCCTTCCTTCCTTCCTTCCTTCCTTCCTTCCTTCCTTCCTTCCTTCCTTCCTTCCTTCCTTTCTTCCTTCCTTCCTTCCTCCTCACCATTTGCTTCCTCTTCTCTGTACAAAAATGGCTGTAGTGTGCAAATTATTATTCTAGCTGCATTTTTCTAAAACCTCTAATCTTTAAGAACTGGATTCCAGGGAACAAAGGTCAGCTAAGCTTTGGGCCTGGAATGTCTCTAGTTTAAAACAATCTGCCACTGCATGTATTCCCTGGACAGGAACAGCTGTGCCAGAATTTTGTTAGCCTTTCTGCACTCTGTGAGTCTCGCACGTTGTCAGGGAAAAAAGAGATGGGAATAGGCTGAGACCAGCTCACATAAGCAAGAAGACTTGTGGGATTAGTCTGCAGTCTTGCAAAGCATTGCAAGGCCAGACAAAACACTGTGGATGTCTGTGTTGGTTGGTCTTGGGTCTTTCTGGAAGGATTTCCTCAGCTGATTCTCTCATAGTAGTGGATCATGGTGTTTTTAAATTGACTTCCAACATCAGAGTCCAGATAGGCTGCTTTGATCTTTTATTCAAAGCAAAAGCATGATGCCCTTTGGTGTTTTATTCTTCAACACTTTGGGTTTGGGATGCTGTGTAGACTATACCTCAGAGGAAGGAACTGGCAAAACTTCCTCTGAATATTCCTTACCTAAGAAAACCCTATGAAATTCATAGGGTTGCCATTAGTCAACAGGTGACTTGAAGGCACATACGTACGTACACAAACATAATATATTTTAAAAGATCTGCTTATGTCTACTAAAAATACAGATATATTGCTTTTATCTGTTTTGTTGTTATGTGCCTTCAAGGTGGTTGTTGTTGTTGTTGTTGTTGTTGTTGTTGTTGTGTGCCCTCGTTTCCAACTTATGGCAACCCTAAGGCCCTATCATAGGATCTTCTTGGCAAGATTTGTTCATAAGAGGTTTGCCATTGCCTTCCCCCGAGGCTGAGAGCATGTGATTTGCCCAAAGTCATCCAGTGGGTTTCATGGATGAGCCATGGTCTCTAGTTTTAGTCCAACACTCAAACCACTATGCCATGCTGGCTCAACTCTGACTTATAGCAACCTTATCACAGGGTTTTTTGGGGAAGATTTATTCAGAGGAAGTTTGCTGTTGCCTTCCTTCCTAGGCTGAGAGTATGTGACTTGCCTAAGGTCACCTAGTGGGCTTCTATGGCTAAGCAGGGAATTTGAACCCTGATCTTCCAGAATCCTAGTCCAACACCCAAACCATTAAACCACTCTGGCTCTTAAACACAAATGTTCAGCATCTAGCTTTTCAACTTCTGTGGTCATTTCTTTTTCCAGTTATCATTTATTTACATATTGCCGCAGGGTGAAATGTGTCAGGTTTCTGACATCTTTATTTTCTTGATCCAGAGAGGTCTCTCTTGCCAGATTTTTTATTTTCTGAATTTTAACACAAAGCTTGGGCAGCCCTGCACATTAGTTTGCATAGATGCCTTTTCCACTTTGGGGAATTCATAATACTCCACTAAATCAAGCTCAGCATTTACAAACAACAGGCCAAGTGGATTAGTAAGGTACATTCACATATTTGTTGCTTTCGGCAAAACATTAAGACTTTTGTGTGCACATCTGTATGAGGGAAAACCAGAGCTTGCAAACATTATTGTTTTGGATTGCAACTCCCAAAATATATAGCTAGCTTGGCCACTGATTGATCTTTCTGGCTGGGGGACTACGGGAGATGCAGTCAGGATAAGTAATTTTTCCAAGCTCTGGCAAAGGTCCCTGCTTACAAATCTTTGTGCCAGAAGTGTGGAACCCAAAAGAAAAGGATTTTTTGCTGCACATAAAGTTATGAGCTGAACTGTATAGTGCTCATGTTATTCCTCTTGAATATTATGCCTAAACAAGGCTTTGCATGACAGACAGCGTGTTGTAGTGGTCTGAGCGATGGACTATGACTTTGGAGACCAGGGTTTGAACCCCTGCTTGGCCACTGAAACCCATTGGGTGACCTTGGGCAAATCACACTCTCTCAGCCGCAGAGGAACACAAAGGCAAATCGTCTCTGAACAAATCTTGCCAAGAAAACCCATAGTAGGTTTGCCTAAGGATGACCATGCATTGGAAAGGACTTGAAGGCACACAATAACAACAAGGCTTTGCTTATTGAGCTGGGATGTAGCTGCACAGAGGTGAAATGTGAGTATTGCCTCCTGCAAATAAGAATTCTGCACCTTACATTAATTTTTTTCCTTTAGTTCCCAAATTTATAGAATTGCAGTAACTTAAAACTTCAGTTGAGCATTTAGAAAATATATTTTAAGCATCCAAAGAAAAAGGGTAGGCAAAGTTACTAAAGTAATGTGAATACAGCAAGTATAAGAGTTCTGTCTATGAATCATTTTCAACTCTCTGCAATGCTAAAAACTTGCAGACTGAAGGAAAAATTCATTTGGAGGGTGGCCAGAATAGTTATGGGGGGGGGAGAATGCCTTCCTTTCCCTCCCCTACCCCCCAGCTACATTGCTGGTGTTAAGGTGTACATCTATACTGTAGAAATAATGCAGTTTGACACCACTTTAAGTGC